AGTCACTTAGAAGGAGTAGATACTTCTATGGATGACATCATCATTTATGGATCAACCCCACAAGAACATGATCAAAGGTTGGAAGCAACAATGAAAGCTGTGAAAGAAGTTGGACTGAAACTTCAAAAAGCAAAATGCGAAGTGGGTGTACAACAGTTGACTTACCTGGGGGACACAATTTCGGCTGAGGGATTGAAACCTGATCAGAGAAAAGTTGAGGCAATCCAGAACATGGAAAGACCTGGAAACAAAACAGACCTCCAGAGATTCCTAGGTATGATTAATTATCTTGCTAGATACATACCAGATTTATCCACTAGAACAATGCCATTAAGAAAGTTGTTAGACCAGAAGGTGTTGTGGATGTGGGACAATGAGCAAGAGAAAGCATGGAAAGAATTGAAGGAACTTGTTTCAAGCGAACCTGTGTTAAAGTTCTACGATCCAAACAAGCCCATAAAGATTTCAACCGATGCAAGTAGGAGTGGCTTAGGAGCAGTACTGCAGCAGCTACATGGTGAAAATTGGCTTCCAGTAGCATATGCATCGAGGTCAGTTACAGATTGTGAGAGCAGATATGCAACAATTGAACTTGAGACACTAGGCATGACATTTTCTTGTGAAAGATTCCACCAGTACATATACGGTCAAGAATTCGAAATAGAGACAGACCACAAACCATTAGTGTCAATTTTCAAAAAATCACTAATTGATAGCCCACCACGAATACAGCGGTTGAGATTACGATTACAGAAATATGATTTCAAACTTTCGTACGTTCCTGGTAAGTGGATGCATACACCAGATGCATTATCCAGAGCACCCCTGAAGCTGGCAAGTAAGTCAGACCACCATATTGAAGCTCATGTTGATGGAATCATAGCAGTGCTACAAGTCACAGATGAGAAACTAAAAGAGATTAAAGAGGAAACCCAAAAGGACAAAACAATGATATCACTTCAAAATACTATCATGCAAGGTTGGCCCAATGAAAGACCCAATACTTCTAACGAACTTCATGCTTATTGGAACATTAGAGATGAATTATCGGTACACCAAGGGCTGATACTAAAAGGGTCAAAGATTGTAATTCCAACAAAGATGAGAAAAGAAATCCTAATAAAAATTCATGCTGGTCATCAGGGCAGAGAGAAATGCAAGCAACGTGCCAGACAAGTAGTATTCTGGCCTGGAATCAACAGTGACATTGATAATATAGTTGAGAGTTGCGAGACATGCCAACATCACCAGCATAACCACCAGAAAGAACCATTAAAGCCATATCCAGTTCCAACCCGTCCCTGGCAAGTGGTCGGCACAGATCTCTGTGAAATCAACAAGAAAGAATATCTTGTCATTGTGGATGCATATTCCAGCTATCCGGAAGTGATACCTCTATCAAGCCAAAGCAGTAAAGCTGTGATTAAAGGTATGAAAGTAACTTTCGCCAGACATGGCATTCCTGATATTGTTCATAGTGACAATGGACCATGTTACAGTAGTCAAGAGTTTGCTGATTTCAAGACCAAATGGGGATTTAAACATGTTACCAGTAGTCCTCATTTCCCGTCCTCTAATGGGTTAGTCGAGAAGGCTGTCCAGACAGTAAAGAATATTATAAGCAAATCAATTGAAAGCGGAACAGACCCGTATCTCGGACTGTTAGCATATAGATCAACACCACTTGACAACCATAAGTCACCAGCTGAGTTACTGATGGGAAGAACACTTAAAACAGATCTTCCAGTTGTAGAAAACCAGCTCAATGTTAAAGATTCCAAAGCAGTTGTTGCATGGAAAACAAAGAAAAAAGAAATCCAGAAGGCTTATCATGACAGAGAAGCCAAACCTTTGCCACCACTGAAGCAAGGTGAGATGGTGAGAATCTACGACCAAAAGAAGTTGATGTGGGGAGAAAAGGCAACGGTGAAAGAAAAGATTGCAATTCGTTCGTACATAGTGGAAACCAAGGACAAAGTTCAATACAGACGAAACAGGAAACAATTGAGAAAAATTACCTCGGAAGTCGAAGACGGAAATGATAAAAATGTAAGCACAACGAAACGAGCGGAGAAACAAGTCGAGACAAAGTCGTTACCCTCGAATGAAGTATCAAGAGACAGATCAAGATATGGTAGAACAATAAAGAAACCTCGTAGATATGAACAATACACTTAACAGATAAGTAAAGCATGTTAGGACTTAAGAAGAACTTAGTAGTTGTTATAAGACTTCAATTTTAAAGTTGACTTTATCTCATGAGAGTAGACGGTGTTCAAACTGTTGATTAATATTAACTTTCTTATTGTATGCGGAATGTAAGGATATCACGTGACTCATGCATGCGAGCACATGGGACGTCGAAGGAACGTTGAACGAGGACTGAATATAGTTGAGTTATCAAGTAAAGTTAAATGTAGTTTATACGGCATAAGATAAATAAAATATATAACATTACAGCTACAATTTCTCGGTTCATCGTTTTTGAATGCAAAAGTTTTACGATCATCCTTCATCATGTGTTTCGCGGTGTTCGTTATCACCAGCATCCCCAATATCCGTGTCGTCGTGTCCAGCGTTCGACCTGCCGCTGACGGTACGATTTCTGGCGGACTGCCCGGGACAGTAACAAGGAATTACATAACAACAGGAATAAAAGCACCCCCCCACAAACACCAACGTAACCAGTACGACAGTCGCATAAACCAACGGCTCCCAGAATGGATCGTCATTTCCATGGCAAGCTTTTTTGGAGCAATAATTCTTCCCGACATTACAACATGTCGATTGAACACAGTCGCCATCCGAATGGCAAAATATTTCAGAACAATTTTGCCGGCAAACCATTATCCTGAAACAGCAGTACGTTCCATCCTCGCAACCAGCAGAAGAACTGCAGCGTTTCTCGGCCAATACACACAATATTTTAGCAAGAAACAGCACAGAAAAAAACAAAAATACTTCGTCTACACGTCGTTTGCCCATTTCGTGACTACACTGTCATTAATGTGTAAAACCACTTCACTTCGGCTAACGGTCGTTTGTAAGAAATTTCTGAATGTTAAATCAAGCTTAAACTTGCGGTTTTCATCCATTCACTGCAGAGTATATATATAGTAAAGTACTACGCAACGTCGACTCTCGATTTTTATTATTTCACAATATTCCACTCCGAATTATTCAAGAGAATAGTTAAAGACTCTTTAAAGACTCTTAGTTTTCTCTTTTCTAACGTTCTTTGTTTTGAATATTCTCGAGTCGTATTTCACAATATTAAAAAAAAAAAACTCATTAATAATTCATGAGGGAAGGACAAAGAGAATCACTACCGTGTTGGTGGTTTTATATGTGATAAAATATAAACATAAAACCAAGGCATGAGACAACCTCGTTCCCAGGCTCTTACCTCCGCACGCCCCCGCCAGCATGGCAGCCAGGAAATTTTCTTTAATCTCACAGGAAATTTTTAAGGAAAAGCAAGATATCAAGAATGAAGCTCGAGAAATTTCAAAAATCAGCATTAAAGTAACAAACGTCACAATTAGAGCATAAATACAACAATCATAACAAAAAAATTGTATCATGTGGCAGTGCTACGACTGTCTGTTATCATGATTATGATTATGATATACATGTGAATACAAGGGCGTATACTAGTATTATAGTATTATTGAATAGTGCATGAATACTGGTATAAATTCAGATTTACAATCTGAAAACAAAATTCAAATATTGTTTCATAGAATTCCTTCATGTTCCTAATTCTAGTACGTAAACCTATATTTTATTAATATTGAGGTAGTATATCACTTAGTACGGTAGTATATACGATGCTGTTAATGAATTACAACCAAAATTCATATTTATAAAAAAATTGGCAGGAAATTTTTGGTCTGGAAAACATGCTGCCAGGAAGAAAAATATTTTATCAAGGCTTGCATAAAACTTTAGCTTAGATTTTCTCGGCTCAGACAACGTTGATTTTTAAAATTACTTCGCCAATGAACTCAGAAGATGGGTCGTTTTCAAGCCATTTAAAACACTCGCATGCATGCAGTCCGTCACTCCGTGCCGTTTATCAGATATAAGACACTCGACTGTCACATCATGTTTCATATCTGTTAAATAAAGCACTCCTGCTTGTGTTTTTACTACTACTTCAGTGTAGTTCAGTCTCTTAGCTTTTAATATTATTTTCTTACGTTCTTTGTTTTGAATATTCTCGAGTCTTATTGTCGTTCACAATATTTCATGCACTTCGAGTAATATTCAAGAGTGGAGTTCAGCTTCTTACTTTTTGAGTCTCTTTTCTTGCGTTCTTTGTTGTCGATATTCTGTCATGTATCAGATAGATATAGATAGCTAATATTTGACCTCGGGTCTCGCGAAGAGAAAGGTGTCAATCAGGTTTTCACCAGTTGGCTTTGATTTAACAGTTGTTTGTTTGTTTTTTGGTTGTGTTAACCTTTCCCCTAGTTTAATTTAACCAGTTAAATGAACCAAATAACCAGGCCGGAGCCTCTGGTTATTTTTTATCCACCTAACATATAGTACTGTATGGTTAACGTCCCGGGGCCGGTTGTACGAAGGTCGGATAGCGCTATCCACCGGATAGTGATTTCTTCAAACTTTGTTAAATCAGTCGTTGATTGGTACAACTCGTATCAAAGTTTAGTATTTATAAGTTAAGTGTTTTTTTTATACTTCTTGTGTCTTCTATATCCGTAGTTTCACAGTTTTTCAAGCATTTTTACAAATGTTGAAAAAATCACGATCCGGTGGATAGCGCTATCCGGCCTTCGCTCAACGGGTCCCTGGTCAAATATAATTAGATTCCTGGTTACATTAACAGACTATGGTATAGGAAGTGAAATAAAAATAACCAACAAATTTAACCAAGAATATTTAACAGTTATTCTACGAACTCGAGTCGAATATGAGCTGATAGCCGATGAGGCGCGTAAGTTTTATTATATACACAAGGTCTGAATTCACAGACTTTGCTTTTCGAATATTCTCAATATTTTTCTATTTTGTTTATGTTTTTATCTTCGCTCTTTCGGCCGATTATTTTTTCCAAAATATATATTTTTAACCATTTTAAATTTTAAAAATTTATTTGCTAACCTGAAAACAATTTGTGGAAGTTTTTTCATTGTGTTTTTAATCCTGTGAAGGCAATAAAAAGCGACAACATGCCGTTTTCTCGTTTGCAAAACTTCGTAAATTCAGTTTGGCCGCCATTTTGTTTTTCTCTACTAGCAGGATATGAGCTAATATCCTGCTAGTAGAGAACCAATCAGATTGCAGAATACCTCATATGCAGACCTTGTGTATATAATAATAAGCCATAAGGGTTATTTTTTGGTTAACAAGGAAAATTTGAACCAGGGTGTTTAGCTTTTAATTTCATAAATTTCTTTGTGAACAACATACATGTAAATTAGTCCTTGTACTTTTCCTATGGTGATACAATTCAAATAAATTATCCATACGTTCTCACGGTATGCTTGTTCAACATAACGCGGTTACCGTGATATATCCCCTATAGACCCATTAGTTGACTGTTCGCTTTCCACGATGACTCCAATTTATGTGTTGTTGAGATGCAACCACACTACTACCACCTTAAACGAGAAAAAAATATTATGTTTGTCAACGTTTTCTAAAATAATCCACGAAAAGAGGTTACTGTTGATCGAAAAACTAAATCGTGTTAGATCGCTACGATACTAGGCGTAAAAAAAAATACCTGAGGTTCCGGTTCCCGACCGACCCTATTTTTTTCTGCCGACCCTATTATTTTTTCAACGCGATTGACTGTGCGACCCTATTTTCTCCAGGTGGTTGCGGGCTGCTCAAACAGCGTGCCAAAATGGCGTCTGTTGTCACAAATAATTATTGAACCAAATTGCCTCAATTCGTCCATAGGAAATATGCACCTCTAGTTAATATTGATGTTGGGACTCTATTGCAAATCGCCCAGCAAAAAAACCGGCAAAACCATGAAAAATATATTAAAAAAAAAATCAGTTATTTCCGACCTACCGACCCTAATTTTTTCACGATATGAAACCGGAACCACAGGTATTTTTTACGCCCTAGCATGCACGTAGGCCATCAAAGATCATTATCAATTTAGGTTCTAAAAACTGTTAAAGCTTTTCAAACACCTCATGCAGAGTGACAGAAAATCAGTAAACTTCGATTCTATATAATATACATGAATTAAACTTTTCTCAATTATGATTGGTTAAGACTGCGCAATTTTATCAAAATACAGTGAAAAAAAGAAATAAAGTTTTGATTTTTGACAGTTGAGAACTTGGATTAAGTAATTGTTGTGCCATTTAAATGAGTAATAGTCTCCTTTGACCTTTGTGTTTCGCCATTTTTGGTACCTTCCATAGTCAGTATTCTCCTTATATATTCTTGTTAAATTTAATTGTCTATGTAAGTTATGTACAATATTGTCTAGTTATCTACGTGCCAAATTAAAGCTATTTCATTTTTTTTTCCGAGCTCGGAATTTTGAAAAAATTTTCATTTTTTTTTTCCAACCTCAAAATTTCGAAAAAAAATTTCATTTTTATTTCCAACCTCGGAATTTTGAAAAAATTTTCAATAAATAAAAAATAGAACTCATTTTACCGTAGGGATCACCTCCAACAGCATCCAAATAGACATTGCGGTGACGAGCAGCCTTATTTAGGTTTTCTAAAAAGATATTAAAGCCATATACCGGCTTCTTATTTCTTGCATTTTTTCCAAAGAAATGTTCGGTATAGGTGAACAAGCTTGTCAGATTCTGTTTACATTAGCATTACATTTGCTTAGCTGATATTATGATAAATGACATATTTACCAATCGTAAATCTTTTCTCGGCATTTGAATTTTCTTTCTGTATTTTGGCAATCATTTCTTTACCAGCTGAAAATAATTAAAAAACAGTAAAAAAATGCCGTAGACGGTAAAGCGATGGCAAAGTGGTTGATATACGTGTGGGCTGTACCTTTATATCCTGATGTATAAGCTTCCTTCAATGCCTTTTGTGATGATGCTATATATCGTTTGCCCCGAAAAAATAATGAACATATTAGAGAAAATAATAACTGCACCTATATAGTATAACTATTTCCATAGTAAGCAGGGCATTTTTTAAGAATTCGTCAGTGGGGGGGCCATCTACAAAAAGGGACCATACTATACCGAGTGTGGAGCAATCATAGATGGTTTGTTGGTAACAAAAAGTTTGGTGTGGTATCGCATTTAATAGTAGGGGGGGTGGGGAGAGCAGGGCCGTAGGAAGCTCTTTTCGTTTGGGGGGGGGCTGAAAGCGAGGGCCGAAGGCCCGAGGAAATTTTTAAATTTAGAGTCTCTGAAATGCCATTTCCTGGACTTTGGGGAAGATTTGACAGATTTCTGATTGTCAGAAAACAGCGTTTTTAGTATGTGGAAATTTAGAATTCAGTAGGACTAAATGGACGAAGGTGTATTTAATTAACGATATATTGGATAAGTTGCAAGAAAGTATGGGTAATATCTTCATTCTTTGCAGTTTGTCATGGAGAGGGTCTGGGGTTTTCTCCGCCAGAAAATTTTGTATTTTTCTACCCCTATGACTGCAATTCCCTGCATTTTCTGAAACAGATTTTTGGATATACATGCAGCATTACATTATGCTGTAGATAGACTGAACCTTCAGTTAAGTACTTGCATAGTATGTTTATGTAGATACCACAACTTGGCCGTCACTTAGGGAGCCAGCTTGATAAACTTAGAGTTCCCGACTCCCATGAAGCGCCACCATGGTTGGCACAGAGCGGAAAATTTTTGAAAATTTTGCGTCTCTAAATCATCGGAAATGGCATTTTCAAAGTCTTCTATACGTCTTTTGTTTGGCCCTTTCATTAATTCGTTCATTATGATTTGTGAGTCTATAATATCCGCGAGTCAGGATGGATTATTACGAGAAATGTTATCAAAATATCGATTACAGATATTTGATTATATGTATATATGATTTCAAATACTTCTAGTTTCGAAATCAAATTGGTTTTTTTTTGGTGGGGGCCAAAATTATCCCCCCCCCCCTTATAAAACACTTGGTTGAGGGCCTGTTGCCCCCTGCGGTCACTAACTTGTCCAACAACTCAAATCTATAGGGTCTGGGTAATGCAATCCACTGCCTGGGAAATGTTTAAAATCTAATAAGGTATTTATTAAACATAAAAGACAGGACATAAGATTCACAAAGCAAATTTCAGTTACTAGAATATCAAACCTCCCTTCTAAATTCCATGTTTGGCTTATATTTTAGAGAAAAGGGACTTTGACTGGGGGGGCCAAAATGGTTGAGTGGGGGGGCCACCATGGGGGCTGGGGGGGCTTTGGCCCCCCCAGTTATATAGTTAAAAAATGCCCTGGAATATAAGGCTCTATTGCGAGCTATATGGGTGTTTGAATTTCAGACACTCATATAACTATATCTTGCATGATCGTTTATTCAATTTCCAGCGATAGAGGAGTCTGAAATTAAGACACCCCTATATATTACACCAGTTATTCTATTGCACATGCATTTTAGCAGACAGTTCATTTTTTTTTGTTTAAAAGTTTGGTATTGTGCGGTAAAATAAACACTTATCAGAATATTCGGCGAAAATTAGCTAAAAACATTAAAAATAAGCTTTTTTCTACCAATTCCTTCGATTTTAATTGATTTTGGAAGTAGACTGAACACACTCAGCACAAATTATAGAAAAATAACAAAAATGTAAGCCAGAAGAATTGCTGTCAGCGAAAATCAAGATTATATATCAATACAATTTCGACACAAGTTCGCAGGAAATCGACTTTTTCTTTGAAATTTGGGGCAAAATTACGTTGACTTGGCAATTATACCGTATTTCGGCAGAAAAATGAGAAATTTCCGCAAAATATTGCAAATTTGAGTCAAAATTCGAAGTTTGGAATTGTTCAAAATTCTTTGGAACGCGTTATATATATATATATATATATCTATATATATATCTATATATATATCTATATATATATCTATATATATATATATATATATATATATATATATATATATATATATATATATATATATATATATATATATATATATATATATATATATATATACAGGTAATTCAATAAAGGTTGTCCTTTGAAACTTTAAACTCTTAAACCTTAAACTCTAAGCGCGCAAAGCATAATGGGAGCACAATTTAAGCAGTTTAGAAAGCATATATGGAGCCCATTTCTTGGAGACATGATAAAAATCTCCCTGCAAAAACATTTCACTGACAAACAGCTGCAATAATCAACTACTAAGCTTGAAATCAGTGCTCCCATCATGCTTTGCGCGCTTAGGGTTTAAGGTTTAAAAGTTTAAGGTTTGCGAAGGACAACCTTTATTGAATTAGCTATATATATATATATATATATATATATATATATATATATATATATATATATATATATATATATATATATATATATATATATATATATATATATATATATATATATATATATATATATATATATATATATATTATATAACAGGTGGGAAATTTGTCGTCGCTGACCAAAAAATTGCAGGCAGAAACAAAGCTCATTGCATTTACATTCAAAACAAAGCAGAAAGTTAGCAAGAAGCTGTTTTAGCTGACGATTTTTTGCTTTTCATTCAACGATTTACAAACTATTGGTTATTCTTTTAAAAGTCGATCATGAATTCTTTGTTTTGGGATGATTGTTTTGTAATCGCGTGATTGGAAGAAGTTAATATGGCGATGTGAACATGGGAGTAAATACCGTATACGTTGATCTATGGCTTGTTTAAAACCGTAATAAACGAAGAAAGACGTGATTTGAGAATGAAATGTAAGTTGAAATTAACTTTATATGCCTCAAATTTTCCATCCTATGTTTCTTAATGTAACTTCAGCTGTCTAAGTTCAAAATACAAGCTCGCGAAATTTAACAAATTTTGAAAATATGTAAAAATAGTTTGACTTTGAACTGTATTTTCTCAAAAATAGCCCGTGGCCTCAATTTCAAATATAGCTAAATGAAAAGAAAAAACTTTTCGGCGTTTGTAGGTATCAAACATATCGTCAGGAAAATAGGGGCTCACAATGTTTTAGTTCAGTCTTTGAGACCCAGTTGTTTCGCACGTGTTGTGGTCAAATTTTTGCCAAGAATCAAAGGCCGAAATGTGAACTTCCTTCATGAAAACCGCTTCGAGAAGGGTCTAGTTTGAAAATTTAGCTATGAATTTCGATTTCATGAGCATATTTTGGTTACACGTTAAGTATTTTTGTGCTTGATGAGATTCAAAATTTGTTGTATATTCAAGCCCGGCTTTTGTGTAATTTTAGTGATGACTGGAACAGAAATAAAGATATTTTAAAAACTGGCCGTGGCCTCACGATAAAACTTTCTACAAGTGTTCTCTGTTTCATGTACTTTTATTTGATATCTTAGGTATAAGCGTAAAAATAGGGGCTCATACAGTTTGAGAGGTTGTAATATGCATGACTTGCCTATATTTTCATGTAAACATTAGAAATTCTTCAACAGCAAAGTAGCAACTGTTTCAGACCGAATGCACACGGACAGCCCACCAGAGACAATGGCAGGGTACTGAAATAGAACGTCACTAAAAAATTCTGTATGACTAATTTAGATCATGTCCATTGTCAACATAAAACAGTCATTTATTCGGTACAAACATTTGGCAATATTTACACGATTCTGCCTTTTTGTAAACACGCGTTGCGTGTATTCCACTCAATTGCGTGACTCATTTTGCTCGCGCATGCTGAGACAAATTTCCCACCTGTTTATATATATATATATATATATATATATATATATATATATATATATATATATATATATATATATATATATATATATATATATATATGAATATAATATTTTATTTAAAAAATTTAAAAAAAAAGACTTCTACAGGCAATAAAAAATTTAAAAATTTGTCCCAATTTAAATTTTTTATTGCCTGTAGAAGTCTTTTTTTTTTAAATTTTTTAAATAAAAATTATATTCATATATATACCAGGCATGATTCCCAAACCTATTCATATATATATATATATATATATATAAGGTTAGAACCTCTTCACGTGACCCACCGTTTATGTCACCCCTTGTAAAGCATTTGCTAAAGCAAAGGAAAAGAGCTATACAGAAGAGCGATTCTGAATCTCACGCTCGTTTACAAGACCAGATAAACAAGCTAATTCGAGAGAACCAGTTAAATGCCGTCAAACAAGAGAACAAAAATCAGAAAACCGGATCAAAACAGTGGTGGTCCAATGTGAACAGTATTACAGGAAGAAATAATCGGAGTCGATCTGTCAGTGCAGCCTTTGATCCTAGTGAGATAAATGTATACTTTCAAAGTATAAACTCGGATCCTCAGTACGCGGCTCCAGAACCTGTCGAGATCCCTGATGGCACCAGGGTTCCTTCGCGCTCTATAAATACTACTCTACACCTTTTACAAAATCTAAAACGAACAGCATCCGGGCCAGATGATCTACCTTACTGGTTTTGGAAGGAATTTGCATTTGAGCTTGCTCCTACCATAACAAATATATTTAACACTTCATTGAAACTTAGCAAAGTTCCTAAAATGTGGAAACATGTAAATGTACTACACAGCAAAAAATCATTTTCTTATTAAGAAAAAAATTTCTTAATTTAAGAAAAAAAATCTTAAAATAAGAAAATAATTTTCTTAGTAAGAAAAAATTTTCTTGAAATAAGAAATTTTTGAATCCCAAGATATCTTTTTCTTACAATAAGAAAAAATTTTCTTAATAAGAAAACATTTTCTTAAAATAAGAAAATACGATTTTCTTACTTTCTTAATAAGAAAACATTTTCTTAAAATAAGAAAATACGATTTTCTTACTTTAAGAATATGTTCGTAAGACAAGAAATGAAATTCTTAAAATACAAAATTATAAAATAGTATAGACATCATTACTTAAATTTTCGAAGCAAGAAAATGTAAAATGCTAGTGTTATAGGACAACTAATATCTTAACAAGACTTAGAACAACGTATATCTTATTGCGTCAGGTAAATTTGTAGTTTTTATTTCGAATTGAAGAGACTATATGACCGGCAGCTCACGGTTGATCAAACACTAAATGGCCGGCAGTACATTGACTATATAGTTAAAGTTGAATCTTCAGTATAAGATAGATA